TTTACACCATAATCTCCAAATGAACAGATGGTTCGCTGCAAATAACTGCTTTAATAATGTAACTAATAGAAGAATGAAAATTTAGTATGTGATGACCCCCTCTATAGCTTCTTTCACATGACCCCATGATCTGCACTTGTCTATATCAGGGTGTTGCTGCTATTGTTTCCCAGCTCAGGTTGTCATGGAAGTGTTGTGTTTACACATAGGTCTATTGCTGACGTTGTTATCCTCACAGGGACATTAACACAGGACAAACCACGGGGACAGGCACGGAAGCCCCAGCCCATTTGGTAATCAGTCTTCTTTTGAAAACAATAGTTTGGCTTGGAGATTATACAGAACGTCCTGTCACGTGACTGTGATCTTCCCAGGCTCAATTAATTGTGGGATCGTTTTTTCAAGGCTCATTTGATTAATCTCCAATAGTTTGGAGCTGATGTTCTGTCCATTATATGCATCAAAAAGAAAATTGAAGACTAAGGAGTGTTTGAGGACAGAATAGGTCCTATATCAGAATAAAGTTCTGTGAAATTGGCTCATTAAAATCATACATTAAAATCACAGATTTACTAATGCATTATTAAAGCCAACTATTTATAGATGTTCATGTTTTTTGCAAAATGTCATACTAGTATCACATTGTTTCTTAGATGATGAATTAATTACAGCATGGTGGCATGCAGGCATTGATTAAGGTTTACACATACAATGTCATCAGATCTATGTGTAAGTGGCCCGTAATGTTTACTTTATTTTTTTGACTCCTTAATCTGTATTTTAGTATACTTGTTTTTGTTTACTCAGAACACCATGTGTAGAATAACTCCTTTGCTTTACTCTTTTTGTTAAACCTAAGCCTAAATATCACAGAAGAATAGAGTGTGGAGCATACACTCATTGGCCACTTTATTAGGTAGAACTTGTTAGTACTGGGTGGGACTCCCTTTTGCCTTCAGAACTGCCTTAATTCTTTGCAGTATAGATTCAACAAGCTCTTTGAAGCATTCCTCAGAGACTTTGGTCCATGTTGACATAATAGCATTATGCACTTGCTGCATATTTATTGGCTGCATCTTCATGATGTGAATCTCCCATTCCACCACATCCCATAGGTGCTCTGTTGGTTTGAGATCTGGTAACTACAAAGGCCATTTGAGTACAGTGATATCATTTTTTTGTTCAAGAAACCAGTCTGAGATGATATGACCTTTGTGACATGGCACGTTATCCTGCTGGAATTAGCCATTAGAAGCTGCGTAGACTGTGGTGACAAAGGGAGGGATATGATTAGCAACAATACTTTGGTAGGTGAGGCATTTAAATGATGCCCACTTGGTACTAAGGGACCCATAGTGTGCCAAGAAAATATCTTCCACACCATAATCCACCAGCAGCAGCCTGAATTGTTGATACTAGGCAGGATGGATCCATGCTTTCATGTTGTTTATGGCAAATTCTAACCCTATCATCTGAATCTCACAGTAAAAATTGAGACTTATCTGACCAGGAAACATTTTTCCAATCTTCCTTTTCCAGTTTTAGTGAATCTGTGCCCATTGTAGCCTCAGTTTCCTGTTCTTGACAGACGTGGCACCTGGTCTTCTGCTTCAATGTGTTGTGTGTTCAGAGATGCTCTTCCCCATACCTTGATTGTACCGAGTGATTATTTGAGTTACTGTTGCCTTTCTATTAGCTTGAACCAGTCAGGCAATTCTTCTCTGACTTCTGCCATCAACAAAGCATTTTAGCCCAGAGAACAGCCATTCTCACTGGATGATTTTCTTTTCAGCCCATTCTCTGTTAACCCTAGAGATCAGTTGCTGAAATACTCATATTAGCCCATCTGGTACCAGCCACCATGTCCCATTCAAAGTCACTTAAATCACCTTTCTTCCCCATTCTGGTGTTTAATGTGAACATCAACTGAAGCCCCTGACCTGTTTCTGCATGGTTGATTTAGGTATTTATTTCAACGGGCAGTTGAACGGGTGTACCTAATAGTGACGAGTATGTGCTGTGTTATTAGTATGGGTTACTCTCATAACTGTAGTATTCATTATGCATAAACCCCAAACTATTAAGAGGTAGGGGTGGGCGATATGGCAAAATATTATATCACAATTTTTTTTTTAGGCAGGATTATGATCCATGATTCTTTTTCTTGTTGGTGTTTAAGACACTTTTACAAGTTACTGAACAATACAATCACACTAATATCCCTATTTTAAAAAACAAAGCCTCATAAAGTAACATAACCACAAATAAAAACATACTCAGTATACTGTTTTGTACGTACGGAAGAGGATTAGGGCCACCATGAAAATATTAATTGAATTATGACTTTAATGAGTTTAAAAAAAAAGTCAGAATTCTGAGAAAAAAAGTCAGAATTCAAATAATATTTTCATGGTGGCCCTAATCGTCTTCCGTAGTTTTGGGTGTTTTCTTTTGAGGTGGTTTATAAAGCTTGTCATGTTGCTGTTCGATGTGCAAACCTTATCTTGGCAAATAACTGTTTGTTCTGTGTTGTTTTTAGAAGAATCAAACAAGTTCCATATTACTGATGTTTTTTAGGGACCAACTCCTCCATGTCATCCATGCCCCTGCGTTGCTAAATAGGGGGTGTGTTCCACATTGCTTATTGCATGTTGGGACGAGGGCACGAAAGGGAGAGAGGAAGAAATCCAAACCACTACCTGTTGTTAGCGATTACTGGTTTATTGGTGTGTCGAACGGATTTGGCTGACAAAACAACTTTAGATGCATGTACGAGCCATAGAACTGCAACAGATAGAATGTGCACTGTAGCACAATACTAATGATCCCTCCGTAAAGACAGATTTTTGAGACATTTTAATAGTTTACAATCTAATATTGTCAATTCGCTTTGTTCAGTATTTTGAGGATGTCCCTGTTGTTTTCTTGTGTTGATCATACATATGTACTGCTGGTTCATATTAGAAACAGTCTTATTGTTGTAGTCTGTAGTCCATACAGATTGCTTTAAAGCTTGGCTGTAAATGTAGTTTTAATTGTTTATGCTTGGACAAATGTTGCTTTTCCGCCAAGCAAAACTGTTGTAGGTTAAGCAGTGGTCCTGCTTCCTGTCATCGGATCTTTCATTCTCGAGCTGCTCTGGGTGCTTTTCCATCTGGCTGTGAGGTGTTATGCACACAGAGCCTCACACCTGCACCAGCCTGAAGCGAAGCTTTGATTACATATAGCTAGGGTCCTTTGGGTGTTTGCAGTAACACAATACGAGTAATTACAAGGTACCACTGATGTGCTAATTGTTTCATCTGCTCATGTGTACAATGTGTGCAGTTTTTTACTTGTTGGGGAGAGTTCAGGTTAGGTATCGATGGTCATTGTTTAGCTGAGGAGTGCTAGACAGATCTCTGAGGAACTAATCCCAGAACCTTTTGGTGGCATGATCATGCCTACAAAGCATTCACCTGGAACTTACCGTAGCATAGTGTGGATTGTGTATCACTCCACATTAAGTAGATGCCTCTTAAGTGTTTCTGCATAGTGCAGCTCATGTAGGTCGCCTTTTTTGATAAATTTATGTTGAGATTAGCTCCCTTGCCCCTAGGTGTTTAGGAATGATGTACTTGTTAAAAGAGTCCTAAAGATAGCCAAATCTCATCAAGCATTAACAGGTCTGCCGTAGCCCTCCAGGTTCTTCTCCACTGAAGACAGGTTACAGGCATGCCCATTAGCTGGTTGAGCCTGGCCCTCACTTCATTTTTGCAGTGCTCAAGTTTTGCTCTGGTCTTTAGTTATGTCCAGACCACTGGAACTATATGAAAACCAATAATTATGTGTTTTATGCAAATGAGGGAAGCTACAACACGTCCTTCATAGGCATCTGCAACTGGGTCATGCTGGATCACCTCGCCTGTACCCTGCTGTGAAATTGTTAAAACCGCACAGGACGGTTTCTGTGGTGGAGCTGTGGATCACTGTGGATGAATTACACATCAGGGAGCATCCAGGGGGACCAGCCTCGCCTCCACCACAAATCAATACTTACTTTACATTTTAGGCAAGACAGGAATTATTGTTCAGTTAGACACATCATCCTACTCCTCAGTACACTACAAAGGCTCCATGCAAATGAGTTTCTCCTTTTGCAAAATGAGACCTAATGATGGATGATGGCCAGCTGCAGTATCCATAACTTTAAGACTGATGACCTACACTACTGAGTGGCTGTTCCGCTTGGACACAGTGTGCAAGGGGGTGGATCTGAGTGCTGCATCCTCGCAGCTGTCAATCATTGTGATGAGGGACGGCCCCTCATTCTCCATCTTGCTCTTATTTGGCCTTCAAGAAGCATCTGTTCTTCCAACAAAAGCAATTGTAATTTTCTAGTCCAGAAGGAATTTACTTCATGGCCCTGTACCAGTTTAGCTATTAGAGTGTCAGAGTGCATTTCTAGTTATGGGGAACACAGCACAGAGACCTGGCCGAGGTCTTGACAGGCGGCATAACAGCTGTTTCAGGCGTGGATACTGTTCAAATTGAGAATTTGGTGGTCAGTGGTCATTGTTGACATACCACAGCACACAACAACGAAATGTGTCCTCTACATTTAACCCATATGTGACATAGCAGGGAGCAGCCAATTCAGCATCCGGGGAGCAGTGTTTGGTGGCGGTACCTTGCTCAGGGTACCTCAGTGGTGCCTTGCTGGTTAGGGATTCGAACCAGCAGTCTTTCAATTACAAGTGCACTTCCCTAATCATTAAGCAGCCACTGCCACGCGCTATCCAGTCAGCACGCCCCTTAAATCAGTTAGAGGCTGGTCAGCATTGCTGGTTTTACCTTCTCCTACAGGGGAACGTAGACTGTGACAGTGGGATACATGCACTGTAAGCGAACACTGTACACCCGCCTTTAATTAACTTGTGTCTTCTGGAGAAAACCAGTTATTTTTAGGTCTTATTGATATATTTATTGTTTTATTTGTTTGTTCATTTGTTACTTTCCAGATTGTCATGTGTGAGGTCACAGCTGCCTGGGTTCTGGATGATGGTGTTTCTGCCAGCATTGTCCACCAAAGGAAGGTCCACTAGAGAAGAAGGGAACTGTGCAAGAAACCATAACGGAGACGAAAGAGGACAGCAGGATTAAAATGGGGTGAGTGAGGTGCAGGACCCCGAGATGGCGGGAGCAGCCCAGAAACAATCATTAATGCAGCATTCAGTAATCTCAGTGGCATCAGGCGGGTTTTACTTTGATGCATTAAGTGTGTGCAGCAGGGTCTGTGCAGGTTCAGTGCCCATCCGGATATAGCAAACCGTAAATATCAGCAGTACAGACTCATTCCAGGCTACGGTTGAAATTTGTCATTGTAGTGAGCCTGTTTGGGGGGAGGGGAATGCAGCCCAGCCTCCCACGCTAACAGGCATGTTTTATGGATGCAGTGCTTCTGTGCAGAGATTGTGCCCTGGCTCTGGCAATATTCTGTATTTCAGGCGCCTGTGAGCTAAATGACATTCTCAGAACAAGCGTTTATTATCCTGATTTCATAGTAAATTGGCCAGTCATGCTGTCATATTCGATATCTTAGTATGATGTTAATGTTGAAAGAAAATCAAGCATTCATCAAATGTTTCCGTTGAGGGCTGTGCAGGGGAAAAAATATCATCATGAATGAGGGGGTGAGTGCAGAGAGGGAGACAGCTGCATGAAAGCGTGCCGAAGAAGCAGGCCACCTCGCAGCTCTCTCTGCCTCAGAACCCAGCTCCATTGCGACAGCATGGCTGAGCCGCGTCGAGGGGCTAGTGAGCTCAGCTACACTCATGCTGATGAGGTCTGTTAACCCACCAGTCAGCAGTGTGAACCAGGAGCTTGTGGACTGGAGCCCAGGGTACAGTGAGGGTGGTTTCAGACACAGAGCCAACCTGCGTGTGATTGACACGCTCTGCTGGTCTCCCTGTTACCGCCTCTGAAAAGGATAATTACTGCCTTTGTTGTAGCACACAGATAATTAATTTATCTGGACTAAGAATTCAGTAATTCAATTGTCTAATGAAGATTGCCTGTAGAATTACTTTTTAAATTATTCAGATGATTTGATGTTCCACAGAATGCTGAATAGTAGCATGTCTTTTTCTGTCTGCCTTCTCCATGCTATTGTATGTATCGTTTTTTGTAAAGGACTGCTGATGAAGGCATTTCATCAAGTCATAAATATGCCAGCTGACTGGCTTGGTAACATACATCTATGAATCAAGAATAATTTATGTTCTCTGCTTTTTGTCATTTGACCCTGAAATCCGCCGGAGAGTTAATTTTCAGATTATGAGAGCATGGTAGGTAGATCTGATGTGAGACAACTTTTACTAAGCCCTCTAGTATAAGATATGTGTGCTTTTTATGTTCCTTTTTTAATTGGATATTTTCAAAATGTCAACGAGAACTTTGAAAGGCTGCTGTGAAATCTGCCAATGCGGTCATGTGTGCTTAGACCATTAGGAAGGCTTAAAGAAGGGGACTGACAGTGTTTCTTAATGCCAGTGACACTGAGGGGGTGGTGAGGCGTACTTATTGTGCAGATCTAACATCCTCTGCTAAAGAGCTGCATCAAGAATTTCCCTCTGGGACCAATAAAGTTGTATATTATCTTATAAGAGGAGCAGGTATAGGTTTAGCACAGTCCCCTCACCCCATCCCTGTCAGTACCCCTCTCACGAGCACGCTGTCGCTCTGCGTGTCCTGGCAGGTCTGGGGTCCTGGTGCTTGTCCTGGCAGGATGGACCCTTCAGCAGCCTCGATGCCAGATGTAAGGGCCTCACCATGTGACCACTCGGAGGCCATCTTGCCTGCTGGACGCAGCCTCCACTCAGAGTCCCCGTGCTCGGCCTCCCCTCCCGGGACGAGCTGTCCCCGGGCTGCCTGTCCTACTTGCGATGCTTTGACTTACTCCAGTCTCCAGAGGTCACCTGGTTTTCGTGGCAATGCCGCGCTAACCAGTCTTGGGCTAAGGTACTGCCCCAGCAGCAGTGTGCTCACCCTGAGGTCGCCCAGCGGGGGCTCCCCGGCCCAATCCAGTGCAGCCACAACCAGCAGCCGCCTCTGCCACAGCATGGAGAACCTGCACTGGGTGGCGACTTCGGATCGTGGTGTTTTTGGTGCCCCCTGCCGGATCATGGATGGCGAGTTCATCTTTCGCTGTGGTGCTCAATGGGGCAATGGCACACCTGAGGCCTTGTACCCCTGCAGGGTGCCGCTGAGGCAGGACCTGGCGCTCTTCCCTCAGTGGCTCTTTCCAAGCCTGGATGAGAGGGTGAAGAATGGGACTGCCACCAAGGGCCTGAAAGAGAAGTTTCGCTTCCAGAGCGCTGGGGTCACGGAGCCAAACAAGCCCCTGCGCACCCCAACTGGCCAGCGTGACCCCAGGGCCGCCTGCTTGAGGAGCCCAGAGGACATCAAGCGGGAGGCCCTGCAGAGGCTCCGCCTCTGCCGCCAGAGGAGCTCCCCTGACCTCTCCCTGTGCTGCCCAGCCCACCCTGTGGAGGTGGCCAAGTCTCGCACTGCGGAGTCTCTGTTCCGCCTGAGCCCCCCTGGACCTCGGAACTGCCTGGAGGCTGCGATAGAACGCAGGCGCCCCCCCTTGGGCCGGCTGCATATACCCACATTCGAGGAGTTTAAGAGGATGAGGCAGAAAGAGAGCAGGCGAGGTGGGGGCAGCCAGGGCCAGGCTGAGGGTGGGCGAGGCCTGGCTCAGAGTCGGGAGGACTCGTCAGGGGTGGCACTTGCTGGACAGGAAGCCAGTGGGGGCCACAGCGGGGAAGCGGGGGCTGTGAGCACTAACAGGAGCCATCCCAACAGCGGGCAGCTGGAAGATGCCGATGGTGGGACTGCGGGTCAGGTCTTCACGTTGGACAGCATCACTGTCCCCATATGCTCCAGCCCCACACCCCGCTCGCCACTGCAGCCCCGGCCTGCACCCCAAATGGACCCGACCGGGACCTCTCTCCAGAACCCCAGTGGTGGCCTGGAGGCCCCGTCTGCGTGCTGCGCCTCCCTGCTGCTGGACGGCTCCAGGATCACCAGGATTAAGGACGGGGTCATTGGCTCAGCGATTGAGCTCATCAAGAAGAGGTGGGTGACAGCAGGTGACAGGGAGGTGACGTCAATGTCATGTGTTAGTGAGGTGCTTTGCCTGGCTGCATTAGCAGTAGTTGTTCAGTCCTTTAGCTGTCATGATGTAACATGCAACACCCCCCACAAAGTAAAATGCTACTTATAATCCAACACGTATAAGCTCTTGACGCTGAGTTACACTAAAGGAGGCCTTTCACTCAGGAAATAAGGGCCCATCACAGTAGTTGTGCACCTTTTCCTAACAATGTGGAAGGAGAAGGCAGAGGCCTCCCGCATACCTCGGTCGGAATGCCGCCACCGACACATTGACAGGAGATTAATGAGTAGCAAAGCTCATCTGCTGGCTGGCTTTGGCTTGCAAGCTCCAGGCCTGACGGGTACAGGACAATCCGTACAGTGGTTACTGCACCATTCCACTTGTGTGTCCCTCTTCTGTCATACTCATACAACTCCACTTGATAACACTGTTTTATTATTATAGTTTGTTATTGTTATACTGTAGTGAGCATCAGACACGATTTATAATGCTCTAGGTGATTAATGGTTATTATGCGGATATGAAATAAAGGTCAGGATGTTTAATGTAAAAGTGTTTTCTGCTGAATGGTTGATTACACATGAACCAGCATTTATAGTCTTGAGCTGCCCCCCTGTGTGTGGGGTTGTGTGTTTCAGCATGTGGCTGTTCCTTTGTTTTCCCCTTATTGATCACCTCACTGAGGTGGTGGCTTGTGGTTTCCATGACAGATAACTGTGAATCCACTGAGGTTTCTTACACAGCCGATAGGGTGAGGGAGGAGCAGTAGTCTGTCTATCTGTCTGTCTTTTGGAAAGAGGGATTTTTATGACCTTATTGTATAACAGAGGCTTCTTTATTCATGAGAGCATTGTAGCTGACATAGCTAACTACTAACTATTATCCAGTTGTGCTAGTGACTGAAACGTGTTGTTTAACAAGTCAACTCGGTAATGTTTAGCTTTAAATCCTTGTCACATCCTGCCCCAATGAGGTAATATATTGCACCTTTTTAAATCGGTCCCATTTCAGGCTCATTAGACTCTTTCCTCTAAAACCTTTGGTGTTCCTTGGGGATGGGATTGTGGGCTCTGACCTGTGCTGTTTTCACGTATCGTACGTGAGCACGATCCATTTATACACGCCACGTTTGCTCTGATCCACACTGTTTTTCACCCTTTGCTCGTGAGCATGCCCCGTTTACACACGCTCCGTTACACGCCATGCTTGCTCTGCCCCAGCAGCTGACACTTGGGCCACTTCATCATTTAAATGCAAATCCTGTTTTTGTCTCCTTTCACTGTGACATGGACTGGCAAAGCCCTTCTGGCACGTTCCTGAGGAAATGCAGTTGTAAACAAAAGGCTGATGTGTGTGTGTGTGTGTGTGTGTGTGTGTGTGGGGTGGGGGGGATTTACACAGTGTAGTGTGTCTTACGCAGCAGTATATGCAGTGACAGATACCCAATGCTCTTTTTCCTTAACTCATATGTAATGTTTTCATTAAAACTGCACCTTTAAGAAACACTCCTGCAGCATGTTCATCCCTGTGGTTGTATTAAGACGCTTTCCTGCACGTCAGCGACATGCTGATCCCCCGCGTCCGCTCTGAGCCCTGAGCTGCGACAGGATTCTGAAGCGTCCGAGATGATGCTGCAGACGGGCTGCAGCGCCTCACCCGACAGCTTCTGAGTTCAGGTGTTAATGTGGATCGATGCGTCTAATTGCTTTAGCCCCGGTCCCTCTGGCACAGTGTTCGGCGGGGTCCCTGGGGAGTGACTTGCTGGAAAGGGGGGTTGACAGAGCGGTGCCGACAAGAGGAGGAGGAGATGAAAGTGTCAGCGATGATAATGCCCCCCCAACACTTCCCTTCTTCCAGCTGCAGTGCTGAGGGCCCCGCCTACCAATCACGTGACCCGGACAGCTCCCGCCCGAGCCAGCAGTCGGATGCGGTTTCCATGACGACAGCGGGCCACAGCACAGAGGCACGGAATGTGCCAGGCGGAGGAGACACGGGATGCGTGAGTCTGATGATCCGTCTTCGTTGTGACCGGTGGCCCGTTCAGGACCGCATACACACACGCAGCACCGGGGCACGTGCAGAAGGACACGGTGAAACGGCAGTGCGGCCAGCCGTGCGGGGACACCTGGGGCAGGGTGCAGACCCTGAGAGCCCCCCGGGAGGTATGCGGCGTGCCAAGCGGAGGGGAGGGGCACGGCGACGCATCTCTGCCCTCTGTGTTCTGCAGCTGCGATCTGGTCCGTGGGGTTACCCGAGCTGCTTGTATCGGAGAGTGTCCTCTAATGTGATTTGTCGCATGTACTGTGCACAGACAGAGAGGGATTCTCATCTGCATGTAGTATGACTGCCGTCCAATCTAGTCATTCATTATTCTACGTGATACATGATCTGCGGGTGTCTTGTTCCTGCCTTAAGGTGCGTTTGCATTACCCGTTGCCTTTGTGACTGACGGTATCTTCTATAGATGCGTTTCGTGGACCTAAGACCGTTTCTTTGAGCTGCTCAGCTTCTCGAAGTGTGGGATTCAATTACCCTTAACCCATCATTGTCTGTGGTAGCATGGCAGCGTTCTGCATGCATGTCATCTGTCCTCAGTGGAGGTCAGCTAGTCGGTCGGTGAGCCTCTGTGTCCCCATGTCCCCCTCACAAGCATGAAACGGCAGCTCCCATTATCACTCTTCTCAGAAATGATTAATATTATGGAATCCCAGGAGTTTGTCACGAATTCACATTGTGGTCCGTATGAATTCAGCCCCCAGCGTGTCTCCGAGGCACCTCGAAACAGCCGTGTTCTTTAGGAGCCGGGCTTATCCGCCGCACGTCACAGTCAGAGCACCGCATTTAGGAAAGGCGCTGCACACATTATGAATTACAGCAACATCGGAAGTGTGTTATTTCTGTCAGTTATGTTGAGATGGGAGCATTTGGAGTCTGGCTGTCATTAAAATGCATGACCTTTTTGTCATCCCCAAATGCTTCCATATAACACAGGCAGGTAGTCTCCCTTGGTGTAGAGAGAGAGATCACCACTGAATGTTTCCATGCTGTCCTGTATGTGGTCATACATCCTGATAGCATTTTGAGTGTTCCTTTATCCAGCGTCACCCACCAATCGCTCTGACTTATGGGTCTCTCCGCCTATCGGCAGCCGTCCAGCCCAGGGTGCAGGCGGTCCAGCTCGGACGCGGCCTATGAGCCGCCAGAGTCGGCGAGGGCTCAGCGGGAGCGCCGGCTCCGCCCCCACTTCAGTGACCCAATGCCGGCAGACGCCGCCAAGCGCAAGCAGCTGGAGATGAAGATTGCAGTGGCTGCAAGGCTGCACAGCCTACGGAGGGACAAGGAGGAGGACAGCAGTGCGTAGCCTCCGTGTCGATTTTCTTCTCCTTGGAAATGGCTGCCCACATTGTGTCGGGGTGCTGTTTAGCCCTGCTGCTCCTGGAGAGGTGCCGTGTGTAGCAGAGCAGCGCCAGGGCCCGGTTCTCTCTGGAGTTATAGACTCTGCTTACTTTCGGCGCTGACTGTGCTGGAACCTGCTCCATTTACGCATCTCTCTATGTTTTTACGGTGTCCTTGAAATGACCGCGTCTCACATGACAGCTGACCCCATGCATTTTGCTGCCTCTCTGTTACTTAATTCCCTCTTAGTCTATATGTGCTGTGCTTGTTGAATAGTAGAATAAATGAGTAAATGAAAAGGCCCTTCTTCTGTGTGCATGTAATACACGCGTAATAATTCTCACTCCCATCAGCATGGAAGCCAATACCTGCACGTCTGACAGGCGCTTGCACCCCTTCTGCAGGGCCCGTTTCTGAGGCACGGTCAGGAGACATGGCCGGGGAGGGGCAGCAACGTTGGAGTGACGTCAGCAGCCTGAGTGCTGACAGCGGCGTGGTCGGCCTGGGTGACGAGCGAGAAGATGAGGAGGAGCCACGGGCAGCTCGACTGGTGACCAGAACTGAGCGGGGGGACAGCGATGTGGACTCTGAGCAGACTCGGTCCTGGGAGAAGCCCAGCGACCAGTTTGGGATGTGGCGGACCCACAGGCCCTGCCCTGACTGCAGTCGGAGCGAGCCGGCTCGGGCTGATGGCATGTGTGCGCGGTGTCTAAAGCAGCGCACGGAACGCAAGGAGGCAATCCTGGAGTTGCTGAACACCGAAGCAAGCTACGGCGAAGACCTGCGCATCATTAAGGAGGAGTTCTATAGCCCCATGCAGGGTGCAGGGCTGCTCACTGCTGAGCAGCTTGTCGTGGTCTTCAGCAACGTGCAGGAGCTCATCGATGTCAATGAGAAGTTCACAGAGCGCCTACAGGAGAGCATTGATCGTGCCTTTGATCAGGTGAACTCTTACCCTAACCCTTACACCGTAACCCTAAGAGCAGCACATGTCCTAAAACACGCAGCCTAACCCTAACCCTTACACCGTAACCCTAAGAGCAGCACATGTCCTAAAACACGCAGCCTAGCCCTAACCCTAACCCTTACACCGTAACCCTAAGAGCAGCACATGTCCTAAAACACGCAGCCTAGCCCTAACCCTTACACCGTAACCCTAAGAGCAGCACATGTCCTAAAACACGCAGC